ACCACGGCAGATTCTATTTCCCACAGATGGCCACCACAGCTCTAGCCCCACATTCTCTTCTGACAAAGGACCTCGCCCCTCCTCCCTCCGAGTGGTGGGGTCTGTGCAGCCTTGCTTTGAACCTGTGCAGACCTTCATGTCTGAGTAGGAGGACAGCGGAAATACAAAGCTGTGCCCTTGTGCCTGGTTTTCTGGGGCTGCTTGCTCCTGGACCCCAGTCGCTGTGTAGAGGGGCCCGCGCTGCGGAGGAAAGGAGGCCCCTGGCCCATAGTCCCAGCTGGGCTCCCCATGTGCAGCCAAGCACCAACTTGCTGGTCACGTGAGTGAGCCATCTTCAAAGTGAATTCCACTCCCCCCCCCCCCCCCCGCTGACTCGCTCTACCTAATGTGACACAGAGCAGAGAGGAGTTGTCCTCACTGAGCTCTGTCCAAATGACCCAAACAGATGACCGCTGCTATTCTAGGACACCGAACTGTGGGCAGTTTGTTAGGCAGCTACACAAAACCGAGAGCATCATCAGGAGCGGCGGGGGCAGGACTCACCCTCCTGCTGTGCCTCCTCCAAAAGCTCCCTCCAATGATTGATGCCCCTCCCTTCCAGGTCACCACCGCCCCACCGTGACTCCTTTGCAGACTCTGCCACTGACTTACTCCTCCAAGTAAGGGTGGTATCAGCAGTGTCCATCCCCACCCTCCCTGGGTAACCGTCCATCTGCTGAGAATGCCCAAGTCTCCGGCCGCTGCTCACACCTCCCGTGCACGTATCACAGGCAAATCAAACTCAACACGTACACACCCACACTCACATTCCCGCCTGCCCTCCTCTTCCTCCATGCTCGCAATCTTGGTTGCTAGAGCCAGACGCTTGGGAGCCACCCTTGACTCCTTTCCCCTCACTCTGACCAGTTCACTCACTAATCGCCACCATATCTCATCTCCCAAGTATCTTCCAAATAGCCCCCTTCTCTTGCTATCCATTGCCAATCCTGGGATTCCTGCATTCAGTAATCTTGGAAATTACTGGAACGGCTTTCTAACCAGCCTCCCTTCCTCCAGTAACACCTCTTTCCAGTTTGAGTTCCTGGCCCCCCAGCTAAACATCAGGAGGACCTTAACAGGCCAAAAAATAATTTAATCAGAACAGACGTAACTGTCCCGCTTACCCTTATCACGCTCCCAATATGGTTCTGTTGAATTAAGAGATCAGTTAGTTCTGCAGTGTTCACAGGAGCCTTTAGGAAAAGCTAAGAGAAGAAAAAAAAACTTATTTTAAATGAAAATCAAAGCATATTTTTTAATAAAACAACTCAGAAGAGCAATCCCAGGAGCAAAGGAAAAGCCCAGGAGAATCAAAGCTAAAGGCACTGAAATCGAAGAGGCAGTCAGTGGTAATAAAGGGGGTGTGGGGGAGAGGAGGAGAAGGATGGACAAAAGGCCAAAGAATTTGGTGACTGGACACTGGAGGCTATGAAGGGTTAAACCAAAGCCACCTTACATGGGGTAGGGATGGTGTAGAAGCAACAAGCATGGATTTTGTAGCACCAGCTGGTGCACTAAGGGACAGGACTATTATGGAAGAATTCTTCTGCCCCACAAAGTTTGGCTGGAAGAGAAAAACAGTAGAGTAGCTCAAATAATAAGCACATGAAAAGGAAGGTATTTTAGGACACAGGGTGTTTATTAACATATTAATCAGTTAGCCTTGGAGGGGAAGAGAAACAATCCTTCCTTCTCTGCAGGGTAGAGAGAATAAGAATGGGAATTCTAAAAGGATGAAATTTGACCTAGCTTGTGTTGAATGGCCTGGATTTTCTTAGAAAAGATTTGTGTGTAGGGGGTAAAAGACCATACCTGCTGCAGTAACTTCTTAATTCCGTCATAATCCTTATCAGAGATGGAGTAAGCTTCAAATTCAACATTCACTTCCTGCAAATAATGACATAGGAAAGGCAGAAGAAAAATTATTAAATTTCCTTACTATCTACAGCCCACTGATAAGTCCTCGAAACAGGCACAGTGACATTCCTCTAGGGACTCAACTACCTTGATGTTATTACTTCGCTAAGGGAACAGTCTTAGCCCAACCCCCAGGATCCTGTAATTCTACTTTTTTAATATATAAAAAGGAGGGGCGCCTGGGTGATTCAGTTGGTTAAGCAACTGCCTTCGGCTCAGGTCATGATCCTGGAGTCCCTGGATCGAGTCCCGCATCGGGCTCCCTGCTCAGCGGGGAGTCTGCTTCTCCCTCTGACCCTCTTCCCTCTCATGCTCTCTGTCTCTCATTCTCTCTCTCAAATAAATAAAAAAAATTAAAAAAAAAATCTTTAATATATAAAAAGGAAACTTCCTTTATCTCCACCCCCTCCCCAAGATACATGTTGGCAATCATCCCCCAAGCATATGACCTACCGATATACATCTAAAGGGCCTCATGACTCAGGTTTTATTAAACAGTAATAAACGACTTTTTCCCAACAATAGCTAGCCCCCTCAAGGTCCTGGAAACCTTGCTTCCAAAATTCCTTAGGGACTTACACTATCCCTAACCCCCTCCCAACTTGAAAGTATATAATGGGCACTCCTCATGACCCCAGCGCAGCTTTCGGCCCCCAGGTCCTGTCCCCGTGCTTTAATAAAACCACCTTTTTGCACCAAAAATATCTCAAGAATTCTTTCTTGGCCGTTGGCTTCAAACCCTAACGTATTTTCTACATGAAATAACACACAAAACTGGTCATCACACACAACTTCCTAAGATAATTCAAGCATTATTTTCTACTTTACAGGGTTTTTTTTTCCCTCTATCGCCACTCTTTTTGCCTCTATCTCTATCTACAGAACATGCCAGAAAAAGGACACGAAGAAAATGTTATCTGAAGAACTGTCCAGGCTTCCAACAGGCAAAAATATGGCCACGACTACCATCTGCACAGGTTACAAAGCCCCTTCGTGCCATCTCCTCACTTGACACAAAAGCCTGAGAAGAACAAAAAACTCAGATTGATCTAGTTTCAACGTAGAGCAAGTCTGCTCTGGATAAAACGGTCACAGCAGCCACAAAGAAGAGATTACTTACGTGACTGCAGTAAGGATGAGCAAAGAGCAAAATCACTTCCGAAGTCCCCGGCTGCCTAGCACTGGATTCAGCCCACGCACCTGAGGCTACACTTCATTCACTTGACAAATACTGAGTACCACCACATGCCAAGCACGGTGCCAGGCACTCACGAAGAAAAGGTAAGAAAAGGAGACATGAACGGTCCTGCCCTCAGGGAGCTTACAGTTTAGGGGGGAACAGAGACTTTAAGGAAATACTCGTGGAGATAAATGTACACATGCTAGAAACAGGTACACGGTGCCACACAGCTTGAAAAATAGTTAAGAAAGTCAGGACAGGGGCGCCTGGGTGGCTCAGTTGGTTAAGCGACGGCCTTTGGCTCAGGTCATGATCCTGGAGACCCGGGATCGAGTCCCGCGTCGGGCTCCCTGCTTGGCGGGGAGTCTGCTTCTCCCTCTCCCACTCCCCTTCCACTCCTGCTCATGCTCTCTCTTTCTCTCTCTCAAAAATAAATAAAATCTCGGGGCGCCTGGGTGGCTCAGTTGGTTAAGCGACTGCCTTCGGCTCAGGTCATGATCCTGGAGACCCGGGATCGAGTCCTGCATCGGGCTCCCTGCTCGGCGAGGAGCCTGCTTCTCCCTCTAACCCTCCCCCCTCTCATGTGCTCTCTCTCATTCTCTCTGTCTCAAATAAATAAATAAAATATTTAAAAAAAAAAAAAAAGAAAGCCAGGACAGTCTTCCCTTAGAGAAGTGACACTTGAGCTGGGAGTGAGGATGAGTTCCTGGCACAGAGAACAGCACATACGAAGGCCCTCGGGCAGGGCGAAGTATGGTGACTGCGTACGTGAGATTCTATGAAGCTGTGTGTGCCTGGGCTCCTTGATCTCTCTGCAAAACAGTAACAGAATCTAGCCTGTGATGCCACTTAAGTGTCGCATAAATAAATGAAAGGACTGCTTCACACCAAAAACAAAATCTTAGAGGCTTATAAGCGCCACCCAAGGTCAGTCCTAAATCATACCTTGGTAAGTGACACACTTATTTTGGGGCTCCGAGAAAACAGTGCATTCGCACACACTTTCAAGTTTAGCAGGTTCTGGAATGTGGGTCTCAGCTGAGGAAGGCCAGCGAGGACAATCTAAACAAGAACCGGGCTGCAGACTGGGCAGCGAATAAACTGCAGGCGCCCGTATGGGTTCGGGGCTTCAGCCGAAGAACCACAGAGAGCCCCTTAGAAGGTTGCGGTGGGTTTTCCTGGAGCGGTGGGAGGGGCCGAGCCGGCGGAGCGGACTTCTCAAAAATACCTGTGGCTGCAGTGTGCAAAAGCTCCCGTGGAGCCCGAGCTAGGCACTTTTACCATCTCCAGTCTCTGCTTACAGACCCTCAGCTGCTGGCGGTCGCTGCTCCGTCACACGGTTCTGGCGGCCAGAAAGTTTCTTCCCCACACATAAAGCAAACGGGGGTCGCGTGTGCTTCTCACCTCGTCGACGCTCTCGTCGTCTTCGTCCTCCTCTTCGTCACTGTCTCCATCGTCTTCGTCCTCATCCTCCACTTCATCTTCCTCTTCTCCCTCGTCGCGCTGCTCCGCGACGCCTGAAGGCTGCGGAGCCCCACTACCCACCGCACGCCGCTTGGGCCTGGACGCCATGTTGCCGGCCTCACCGCGCCTGCGCAAGTCCCACCAGCCCTCCCTTCCGGGCCCACCCACACAAGCCGGGGGGGGGAGAGAAGACGGACGTCCTCGGCGCTGAGCCGGGGTCCACCCCCGGGCCCCCGGCGGATTCCACGGCCGTGATCTCTAGGGGCCAAGCCAAGTTTGAGGTCCTATTTTGGCATTTTCTTCCCCCCTCCGTCCGCCTTCGGTCCCTCCGACGCTCCTCCTCCCCTTCGCTCGTGGTTCGGCCCATCTCGGCCCGCCCTCCCTGGGCCAGGGTGTCTGTGCGCATGCGCGCGCTCCCGCTGTGCGCGGCTCCGGCGGCGGGACCCCCGGCCTCCGTGCCGCTGCGGCGCGGGCACTCGCGAGCTGTCTCCATGGCAGCAGAGGCCACGTGGTGAGGGGGCCGCCCACCGGCTCCTCTCTCAGGTGGCTGCACCGCAGGCTCGTTGGCACCGCGAGATACCGCCCCCGACGGGGCGCGCTCCGAGTGCTGGGCACTGTCCCAGCGCCTAGCCTTTCGGGCCTCCGCAGCCCAGCGAGGTAGGTGTCGCCGCCCACGGTGCCGACGATGACACCGAGGCCCGCGGACGCGCAAGGCCAGCCTGCGGCGCTAGCTGGAGCGTGACGAGTGGGCAGCCGAACCCCGAGGCCCTGCTGGCCTGGGCGGGGGCCCTGGCGCGGGGGCAGCGATCGACCCCGAATGGAAGGTCGCCGGGCCCGCGCAGGTGCCTGCAGGGCCGGGCTCAGGGCCCCCAGCACCGTCGGTGGCACGGCCTGGCCCGCGGTTGAATGAATCTCCTCCGAAGCCCTGCCCTAACCGACGCTCTTTAAGCGCATTTCTTGACCTGAAAGGTTCTTTAAGATAGGGGTTAACCTTAAATGCTTCAAGTCCAGTGGGGAGATCGGAACTCCAGAGCAGAGCCTGCTTGGAGAGGATAGAGTGGAGTGGGCCGTGGTCAGCTAGAGAGTGCAGCCAGTTGTGGCCGAGGGGACATGCTGGCCTAGTGCCCTCAGACCTTTACGTTCAAGAGAACCTGGAGTTCCCCAAGATCGCTCCTCATTTCTAACATCTGTGCCGAATAAAATTCAGTCCCCAGTCAGCTGTATCCCACGGGCTACCAGTATGCAGCCATTCATTGTAAAGACGATTTGGAAAGAAAGTCCTCAATTAAAGAAGACATCAACTATCTGAGAAGGAGGTCTATGGTTTAACTTTTTTTTCCCCCCTGTAAAATGAGAAAAGTGGGTTGGATACCTCTGATTCTAAAAACGGAAGGAGCTGCCGTGTGTAGTGAAGTGGCGGCAGCCCAGAGGTTTAAGCAGAAACCTGATAACCTCTTCTCAGGGACCCTTCAGCAGCAGGAAATGGAGTCAGGGTAAGGTAAGGGTCCCCGGAGGCGCCAGGATTGTGTTCTGTGGGTTCCGTCCTTCCTGAGAGTCTCCGCTAGCAGGCCGCAGCCTGGATATTGATAGACATGCATATCAGGGATTCACATCTGATGGGGTAGCTCTCCTGCTCATACCCCTGCCTGTCTCCTGTTCCTGGTTTCCTCCCATTCTTGCTGCAAGGCAGGTAACAGGAGTTTCTCCAAGCAGGGAGCTTTCAACGTGGTCCCAGCCTATCAACAGAGTTGCACTCAGACATCATGGATAATTTTTTCTGTTTCTTTATACTTTCTTGTAGTAAAACATACACAACACAATTTACCATTTTAATCATTTCTAAGTATTAAGTTTAGTGGCCTAAGTTTATTCATTTGTTGTGCAACAGCCACCACCATCCATCCCCAGACCTTCGTCTTGCAAAACTAAAACTCGACCCGGTAAACAATAACTCCCCATTTTCCCCTTGCCCAGGCCCTGGAAACCATGATTCTGTTCTCCATCTCTATGAATTTGACTACTCTAGGGGAATCCTATAATTTTTGTCCTGCGATTGCTTATTTCACTTAGCATAAAGTCCTCAAGGTTCATCCATGTTGTAGCATGTATCAGAATTTCCTTTTTAAGGCTGAATGATATTCCGTTGTATGTATATATCACATTTTGTCTATCCATTCGTCCATTGGTGGACACTTGGGTTGCCTCTACCTTTTGACTATTATGAATAACACTGCTGTGAACTTGGATGCACAAATACCTGTTTAAGTCTGTGCTTTTAAATTTTGGGGTGTGTATACCCAGAAGTGGAACCGTTGGATCATATGGTAATTCTTTCTGTGTTTACTGTTTTTTGAAGTACTATACTTTTTTGTAGTTTGTTTTTTGAAGAACTGTACTTTTTTGTAGTTTGCACATTTTCCGGGGAGCTTGTATTGCTTTGACAGGAGATCGGGGAAAAGCCTTACTTTGTGTCCTCAGACTAGCTTCCAGCGTTGAGCGAATGGTCAGAGTGGGAAGTAGCATGGAGTATCTGACAGGAGCTGAGAAGTGATGGGAGTGCTTAGGGAATGGGCATGGGCTTCAGACGGGGATTGAATCCCACCCCTCCACTCACTGCTGCTGTGTGACCTTGGGCACCTTGCTCAACCCTTCAGAGTTTTGGTTTCCACTTCTGTGAAGTAAGGATACTAATACCTACCCTTGCTAGTTTAAATGAGGATTGAGATCCTGCAATGTAAATTGTTTAGCCCCGTAAATAACAGAGTAAGTAAGCGCTCACTAAAAGGGGCAGCTCTGACTGCTGGGAGAGGAGCAGGACACGGTTGGCAAGTGTGAGTCTTCCCAGCGAGGTAGTCTTCATCAGATCATTTCCCTGTTTCTTTAAGGAAAAGAGATCAGTTCCCCTGTTCCGGAGATGCCGGGTACACCTAAAGTGTTGTTTTCCCTCAGCGTGAACAAATATTTACTGAGCAGCTACTGTGCGGAAGAAAGTCCTGCAAAACAGCCAGCAGTGCAGAGGACCAGCCCATTTCACAATCGCAGGGACTGAGATGAAGAGCCGAGCAGCCTAGACCAGAACACAGGCTTTTGCCGTCTAGTGCAGGCTCCTTGCCCTCCGCTGCACCTCTTCCCAAAGTCCAAAGTGGCTCATGTACAATCCTCCTTTAAAAACCTGCTCATACCCCTGCCTGTCTCCTGTTCCTGGTTTCCTCCCATTCTTGCTGCAAGGCAGGTAACAGGAGTTTCTCCAAGCAGGGAGCTTTCAACGTGGTCCCGGAGAAATGCAGGCATAGATCTGTGTACACCATGGGTGGGGCTGCAGCTTGAATGAGGCTATATTAGCCCCCCAGGCTGCCGTGTCTAAGTGCCACACGCTGGGTGCTGTATACAGCAGAAATGTATTGTCTCACAGGCTAGAATTCTAAGATCAACATGTCAGTAGGGTTGGTTCCTTCTGAGGGCTTGAGGGGAAATCCGTTCTGTGCCTCTCCCCCAGCTTCTGGTGGTTCGCTGGCCATCTCTGACGTCCCTTGGCTTATTATCATATCACCCAGCTCTCTGCCTTCATCTTCACATGTTTTCCCTGAGTGTGTGTCTGTCCACATTTCCCCTTTTTATAAGGATACCAGTCATACCGGATTCGGGCCCACCCTAAACAACCTCATTTTAACTTGACTACATCTGCAAAGACCCTATTTCCAAATAAGGTTACATTCTGAGAGTTCAGACTTTAACACATACATTTTGGATTCAGTCCATAACAGGCCAAGTGCACGGATCTGCCATATCACTGCTTGCTCTTCATAGCAAGCGATGGGATGATTGGTATTTGAACTTCTTGATGGGAACAACTAAAGGAGTTCTGGGTGGAGATGAACATTGGACAAAGCCACATTGCTGAGAAAGGGGTTGTTCACTTTTGGAGAACCCTCTTGCCTGCCCCAATCCCTAGAATATTCTGGGTTCTAGTCAACAAAAGCTGGCTTTACTCATCTTTGACCAATTCGGCGTAAATCAGCTGCTGAACTCACTCACTAATCTTGCCAGACCTTATATCCATAGTAGCTGGGATGTGCACATATCACCCTAAATCATCTCCCACAGCAGAGTATGAATTCTGAATCAGAGGAGCCCTAGGCCCAGATGCAGACTTTTAAAGCCTTTATTCTGAATCATGGCAGTTTGTAGTAACAGTACTTTGTCTCTCTCTCTCAACACTTAGCTCACAGTTCTGTGGTTGTCGCTCTCCCCCCAACCAGCCTTGGAGCATCTTGAGAGTGGGTGCTAAATGTTATTTGCCCCTTGCCCACCACCCAATACTCAGCATCACACAGAAGAGACTCAGTGTTTCTTGGTAAATGAAAACAGGATTGCGGAAACCCTTATGTGCCTAATTGAGAGCCAACTTCCAGGCCTGGAAGGCCGGCTGGTGCTTAGTTCTCCTTGTTGCTAAAATTCAGGAGCTTCTGCAAGGTGGGCAAGGCAGAACAAGGTACACCAGGAGCTTCAAGGAGTAAGTCATGCCAAAGAACCTTGCTCGGTTGCTCCCCAAGTGCACTGCATGGCATTCTTTGACTTGCTGATCATCTGGAACTCACCTCTCAGTGCCTACCTTGGCTCTGGTATCTCCCATATGTATGTACTGGGGAGTGGGAAGGTGCCTCTGGAACCTCTCTCGACCCCACTGCCTCCCACACCAGTTACGGCCCCTTTTTTCCTCTTCATAGCAAAACAGATATCTCCACCTCTTGTACCTACATCTTTACCCCCGCTTTATTCTGTAACTTACTCTGTTATGGACTGAATTGTGTTCCTCCAAAATCATATGCTAAAGCCCTAATCCCCAATGTGAACTTTATTTGGATATAGAGCCTTTGAAGAGGTAATGGAGAGTAGTGCCTGGCTGGCTCAGTTGGTAGAGCATGTGACTCTTGATCTCAGGGTCCTGAGTTCAAGCCTCATGTTGGACATGGCACCTACCCCCCCAAAAAAAAAAAGAGAAAAAGAAAAAAGAGGTCATAAAGATTAAATGAGCTCATTGCGAGGTCAAGCCTTATTGCTATACGCATTAGGTGGAGCCCTAATCCTCTAGGTCTGGTGTCCTTAGAAGAAGAGGAAGACACCAGAGGTTTCTCTGCACAAACACAGAGGAGAGGCCATGCGAGCACACAGCAAGAAGACAGTAGTCTGGAAGCCAGGAAGAGAGCTCTCACCAGGAACCAACCATGATGGCACCTTGACCTTGGACTTCCAGCCCCCGGAACTGTGAGAAAATGAATGTCTACTGTGGAAGCCCCCATTCTGTGGAATTCTGTTATGGCGTGACTAAGATAAAAAGTATCACTCCGGTACAAAGGGCTTAGTTTAATAATGCAAACACTTGAAAGCAAAACCAATCTACCCACTGCAGATAGAGAAAATGTTTCTTCTGGGTTCTACTCTGTGGTTGTCTTAGATAATAAAATTGACGGCTTCCGGATAATAACTGTTAAGAGATTCCATGAGATGTGCTGCTGGACTTGACAAATAAAAATCAGACTACCACCCTTATTCCTTCTCTGCCATGGCTCAAAGCACCTCTAATGCAAAATTAAGAGGAACCATTGCTGGTGATTCTTTTCCCTGCTAGAGCCTCATGTCATCAAGTTCAGTGAGAAAGAAATCACCTGATAAGTGCACAAAGATAGTCATACTCACACATTACTAATTTTCTTAGTAATTGAAGATTTAAAGTTAATAATGTTTTTAGAATTGATTCCCCCTAATTGACAGGTACTGTTCACTGTACTATTAGCACATTCAGCCCAGGGCAGAATCCGAGGGCTCCGAGAAAGGTCTACAGGTGATGGGGGGGGGGTGCGGTTTGGTGTGGGGAGTCCCAAAAGGTTCTGCAGAGCCAAAGGGTCTGCAGCAAAGGCCCAGGGACTAGGCGACGGACCCTGCTCTTAGCAGAGGAAATACCGGGGGAGGACTGGCTCATGGGACAGCCAAGGTACATGTGTTTCTAAAGGCACATACATAGATGACATCAGCCAGCCACCCTGTGAGTGAGGAATGACTTCTGTCCCAATGGCTTTCTCCAGTCACAGGAGTTTAGACAGTGGCATTACTACAGCTTCTCACAGACCAAGAAAAGGTCCAGAACATTCCCATCCACACCCCAGCCAGCAGGGAGGCAGTGGGGAAGAGTAGGCGCATGGCACTTCCCTCTCAGGGCAGGCCCCACAAAGTGTGCACATCACTACCACTAACATCCTGTGGGCCAGAGCTAGTCCCCTGGCCACATGCGGCACTTGTTTTTATTTTGGGCAAATGTGTGCCTTGTTACTAATGAGGGATTCCATTTCTGTGAGTGAGAAAGGAAGGGTGGGTATTTGGGGGCAACTGGCAACCTCTGCCCCCCACTCCCCGCCCATCCAGGTAAGACCTCCAGTTATGCTTCCAGAGCATCTTGACTTGTTTTCATAGCACTTACCACACCGACTCTGTCATTGTTTTTACTTATTTGTGAAGTGTCTATTTTACCCTCCCGTAAATCCGAGGCAGGAATCCTATTGTATCCCCAGTTCCTGGGACTCAGTAACGGTCTAGAAATACTTGTTAACTCACTGATAGGATTACACCGAACAAACCCCAAGTTTAGGTGGGATTCGAAGAAGAAAGACATTTTCACCTAGTCCCAAGCGTCAGGCCATGGACACAGATGGTTTCATCCTGAATTACACCGTGTCCTGTTAACCTTGTCGGTGTGACTCCCTGATCCAGCCCCTTCCTAACGGCTCCCCTGCCTGTTCATCCTCACCACAGCAGCCAGAGACCGTTCTCAAGCATGTACACCTTCGCTGCCAGTCCTGCTTACACCTGTCCGTGGATTCCCATTTCTCATGGTGTCCAAGTCCACCTGCCCTTCCCACTGGAGCCATGCGTACCCTTCTCTCCTGGGAACGTGCTCAGCCCTTTCCTGACATTTGAACATTTCTCCTCGCTGCTGTTGTCATTCAGATCTCAACTAAGATGCCACCTTCTCAGAGAGGTGGCCCTGGACTGGCAACCAGCTATCAGCACCCAGTTATCTCTCTCACATCACCTCTTAGCACTTGGTAGGACTTGAACTTGTGCCCCGCCCCCAGGACATAATGCAGACCTAATCTCCCCCAGGCAGATTCCAGGTGTCACTGCCTGAGAACAGCATAGAAACACTTGGGAGACATTGGCTTCTGGGATTTGAAAGCAATACTAACCTATCCTTTGAAATCTTGGGGATACACATCCCAGAGCCTTGAACCATGGCTGGGCCAAGGTGGGGCTGAGGTCTGAGGCCCGGGACCAACTGCTTCCAACATGCTCCCACCTTTTAATCCCCACAATCCTGGCTTGTTTTGTGGGCCTGGAAACATTTATGTGTTAACAGAAAATGCTAAGTTTTACCTGCCACTCATCTCAGCCCCTTCTGGGGCTCTCGGGATCAGTCAGGGTTCAACCAAAGAAACAGAGCTGGTGGGGGATATGGATTAGGACCTGCTGCAAGGCACTGCCTGGTGCAACTATGGGGGCTGCTGGGCAAGTCTGAGACCCTGAGTGCAAGCTGAGTGCAAGCCGCTGAGAAGGCGGGGCGGCCCGGGCAGCAGAGGAGGCTGTGGCCACAGCTGGAATTTCTTCCTCGGGGAAGCCTGGGTCCTGCTCTTAAAGCCACTCACTGGAGGAGGCCCACCCAGATTATCTAGGATAATCTCCCTGGCGAAAAGCCACCCGATGATAGACTTTATCCTCTCTCCAAAATACCTTCACAGCACCATTTGTGAAGAAATGGGGACTGGAGCCTTGCCGGGTTGACTGACAGCTGTGCGTGCCCAGCTCAGAAAGGCTTGTTCCTAATTTCCGTGTGAGACACATCCCAAGTAATTTCAGGAAATGATAGGAACAATACTGCCCATTTCCCCAAAGCCCCAGTCTCTCTGGCTCTCAGCTCGACAGCAGCAGTAATTAGAACTTGATTTCATGATTATTATTTGTTCACCCAGGGCTGGTTGCTTAGATACAAAGCAGTTCATTTTGAGCCAAATTTTCCTAAGACGTCCCGTAGATATTATAATGTTCCAGAAACCTATTCAGTAATAACTCACAAGTAATGGCTCCCAGAGTTAACACATTTCTGCTCCAAACAATACACGCTGTTTGACTATTACCAACCACTGTATAATATTTAGTAAGTAACTAGGTGGTGGGCCTAATGCTATTTACAGGATAGTAATACACATTTCAGGCAGAGTTTATTCTGCAGGTCTCTAGCAACATTTATTTTGAGGCCTTTGGGGTGGTCATATTAAATTCCTCCCCCCCGATACAAAATAATTTAATGTTTATTGTAAAAAAAAATGTGGATAATACACAAAGAGGTAAACAAGAAAATAATCACCCTAACCTGCCACCCAGAAATAATTATTAGTAGTATTCTGGTGCATATTCTTTCATACATATGCATATATAAAATTTATAAAACCATACCATACATGCATCTTACTTTTTTTAACTTGACATTTTGTGATTAAATAATCCATGTAATTAAGTTATTAATGAATATTTTAATGATTTCATATAACTGTACCATTCTCTCACTGTTGGACATTTACTTTGTTTCCCACTATAAATACCAGGATACAATCTTGCAACTAGAAGAGGAGTAAGTCTTGGAAATCTAATACACAACATAGTGATTATAGTCAACAATACTCTTTTACAAACCTCCAAGTTCCTAGGAAAGTTGATCTTAATTGTTCTCACCACAAAAAAGAAATAATTATGAGGCGGTGTGGTAGAGGTGTTAACTGAGCTACTACTGTAGTAATCATACTGCAGTATATAAATGTATGAGATGAACAGCTTAATAGCTGAAACCTACACAGTGCTGTATGTCAAATATACCTCGGTTAAGAAAAAAGAATACCAGGATCCAGGATGAACATCTTTATGTTAGTCTTTGCACACTTTTATGAGTATTGCCTTAGTATTTATTCTTAGAAGTGAAATTATAGGATGAAAGAGTATGAAGTAGGCAAGGCTTTTGAAACATCAACAAATTCTTTTCCAGGTTGTTAGACTAAGGTTTGAAAGAGATCTCATGTTTGACACCATTTATAAAACATCATTTGAGAGGTAGAAGGGTCAATATGATTATTTCCTAAAGAGCTTATGAACTACTTAGTACATTTATCTTGAGACAGAAGTAATTCTTTATTTCCTTAAAATAATTTTGTCTATTTGTTAATGATACAACCCCAAATTTGTATCACTCCTCTTTAGAAGCCTTAAATGTGTGCCCAGGACACGGGCTTTCCCTAATGGCTTTCATCTGCCTTTCCAAGTGATATCAAGTGCCCGCATGCTGTCCCTTGGCCTTATCAGTGACAGGGGCTTCAGAAGGAACAAGCCCATTAACGCTAAGTCATTGTGGGCGAGGGATAGGTCGGTCACCTCAGCGAGCAGTTGATAACCTTCTTCCCGTGCTTCCGTCCCATCCGACGTTGCTTAGGAAGAGTCTCTGAGATCTAATTAAGATCCACCCGTCTCCCTGCTCTGTCCCAGCGCCCTGCAAGGACTGCCAGGTGATAATGAAGGTTCTCTTACTGAAAGACGCTAAGGAGGACGACTGTGGCCAAGATCCATACATCAGGGTAAGTTGCCCGAGGCTCCAGGTCCCGCACAGCAGGACACTGTCTTACTAGGGGAGCTAAGGGGGTGAGGCGCTGGGGGGTCTGTGAACCCTCCGAGCCGCTGACGCAGAGTAAGTTGGTACGGTGACGCTTTCCTTGTTTTCCCAACAGCCCTGGCCAATCCAGAACTATATTCTTGTATTTGCAGGAACTAGGATTATATGGACTTCAAGCCACTCTGATCCCTGTTTTATCATTTGAGTTTTTGTCTCTTCCCAGTTTTTCTGAGAAGGTAAGGTCCGTCAGTGTCCGAGTACCGTAACTTCTGAGTCTCTGTAGAACCCTTGCCAGCCCAAGCCGGCAGCATTTCTTCGCCGCTTCCTCATTTCACTACCAACCTTGAAGACGAGGGCAGAGCCGCCTCACCTGGCTCCAGTGGGCGTGGCTATCAGACTGTCCCTGAGCCTCCAGCAGGTCCTCCGGAAAGCCACCCTGACCTGAAGGCGTGGGCGGGGGGGGGTGTTGGGGGGTGTCGGGAGAGCGGGTTGCAGGGAGGGCTCTCAGCCGTGCAGGCCCTTCCAGTTCGTCCTCCCGTCTACCCACCTGCCCCGACCACGCACTGCACAGGTGTTACTTTGCCGTTTTAGAGAGAGGCCCCAGGTTGGGCCACTTGCTCGGCTGAGATCTCCAGCAAGAGGGTTGCTCCCCCACAGCGTCAGGTCTGCCGCCAGGTGTAACCGGGATCAGTCTTGGCAGACACGATCTCAGTAAAGCCTTCCAGATGCTTCAGATCAAAGCTTCAGTGCTCAAGCAGCCCTCACCAGCGTGCACCCAGTCCCAGGAGGGGAGCGCCTTCAGGGCATCTCCCCGGAGCTCCTTTCTAGACACATTAGGGAAGAGCCAGGCTGGTTTCGTGAACTAGGGTGCCCAGCCCTGCTCCCAGGCTCCAAGCCTCTGTTAGCGCCAGGTTCACCCCTCCTGCTCTTTGAGGAAAGCCAGTGTTTTCCTTTTGATTTGGGCCGAATGTTGAATGATTCATTCCGTAATGTACCCGACAGACACTGATCTGGCGTCTGTTACGCCCCTATGCACTGGGCTGTGTGCTGAGGGAATGAGGTAAGAAGGACCCAGACCAGCATGCCCTCCCATAAGCAGCCTGGAAAGGCACTTGAGATCACTTCTTGGACCCCGTGGCCACACAGACTAGAGTTTCCACAGGAGCCTCTCCTGTCACCGCCAGCCAGCGTGTCCCCTGAAGGCTTTTCTGGACTCTGTCTAGCTCACTGTGCTGCAGTGAGTTGGGGCACAAGGCACGTGCTGGAGTCCTGGCCCTGCCACTCGCCGTGGGCAGTTCCTCAGCCTCTCCACGCCTGAGTCTTCATCTTTGAGATAACAGGAACCCCAGCCATCTCCCAGGGAACTTTCAGAGAGTGAGGGACACAATATATAAAAACAGTAATGTTCGGTAGATGTTATCACTATTATTGTCTTTGAAAATCAAGGCTTCAACATGGATATCGTCCCTTGAAGATTCCAGTGTTTTTTTATTTTATTTTATTTATTTATTTATTTTTTAGATTTTATTTATTTATTCATGAGAGACAGAGGGAGAGAGAGAGAGGCAGAGGGAGAAGCAGGCTCCCAAGGAGCAGGGAGCCCGATGCGGGACTCGATCCCAGGACGCTGGGATCATGACCTGAGCCGAAGGCAGACACTTAACCATCTGAGCCACCCAGGCGCCCTCCAGTGTTTTTTTAAAAGATGTATTTATTTACCCTAGAGAGAGAGAGAGAGAGAGAGAGAGAAAACTCGAAGGGCGGGGGCAGAGGGAGAGAGGGAATGTCCAAGCAGACTCCCTTCTGAGCATGGAGCCCGATGCCAGGCTCCATCCCAGGACCCTGGGATCACGACCTGAGCCAAAATCAAGAGAAGGCCGACTGAACCACCAGGCGTCCCTTGGAGATTGCAGTTTTATTACAGATGCAGGTCCAGTCTGCCCTCCCACCTGCACCCCACCCAAGCCCAGGCTGGGTCAGATGGCCCCTCTCTGCTCCTGTTACAACTCCCACCCTACAGTGCTCTTTCCTGGCTCTCCCCTTGACTGGGAGCTGCTTGAGGGGAATACCATGAATAGTGACTTCACCTGCATATCCTAAAAGGCCTAGAATAGTTCCAGGCATATAGTAAGCTCCCAGTAGGTGTCGAGTGGAAGAGTGGATGGATGGATGGATAAGTAGATGCATGGATGGATGGAAGGAATTAGTTTTGTGAAGCATTTGGAAATCTGGGAAATGCTGAACTTGGCCATCATGTAAAATGTCTGTTGCTGTTTGGTGCACAGCTGTGTCATCCTGAAGGCTATGGGGGACTCATCTTTACCAGCCCCAGAGCAGTGGAAGCAGTGGACCTGTGTCTGGAGAAAGACAATAAAACGGAAGGTGAGGGGGGCTCTGTTGTGAATCCCACTGGACTTTCTTTGCTCTGTTCTGACCAGGGATACCGGATTCCAGAAATGGATTTTTCAGGTTTGAAACATCTCAATGGCTTTTAGCTCAAGAAAGTATTTACATACCCAGTTACTTCATGTTTGTGTAACCTTTGGAGGAAGCAGAAAATGACCTTTCTCCTTATAAGCTGATTCTTAATGTCCCACACAGAATGACAGGTTAGCCTCGTAGCTCTCTGACGGGAGCAGACGCCTAGAGGTGTCATGTCACAGATACTGTCTTGGGAAACAGGAGACAGGGCGGCCCCCAAAGTCCCCAGACCCTGAGGGGTTCATCTGCCAGGTGGTCATCTCTCTCCTCAGAATATATTGGTGGCAGTCTCTTTCCTCAAAGGGATGATGAGAAAATCCAACCACATTGAAAAAATGGCCCATGGCGTGCCAGGCACTTAATGACATGATCATCTCTTAGTCCCTTCTTCCTACCTCCTTCCCTCTCCTTCAAAAACACAGGAACAGAGCCCAGGCTTCAGACTGAACAACCACCTTAGTCTTTCAATCAAATAGCTTTGTAGCTAACATTTATGGAGAGCCTAGTGCATACCAGGCTCTGTTAAATACTTCACATTTGCCATCTCATTTATTCCTGGACACTGACCAGAGGCACATGTACTGTGGTCCTCATTATGTTGGGTGTAGAGATTACTTAAAAAAAAATTAAATCTTGAAAAATAAATTAATTAATTAAATAAATAAAAGGAAATCTCCCATGGGAGTGTAAAGGGTAGCATAACACTTAAATGTAAGGGAAAGTTATGCTCCTAATCAGATTTTAGGAAGGGAGAACTCATGTTTCCTTGTCTTCTCAAAAAGTATTGAACACCCAGTGGCTTAGCATATATCTATGCAACCCATTTTCTCTTTGTATTTCTTTCATCCACAGTTAAAGGTGTCTGTTTTTGCCCTAAGATGGTAATGTTCTCTATTAAATTGTGTTTGCTCATGAACCTGAAAGTTACGATCTTTACTTTGACTTAATGTATACATCTGAGATTATAGTTTCTTGACTGCTTTCAGATTTATGTCCCAAATAAAACCAGGTGTATTGCTTTTTTAGACACTAAGTTGCCCTTTTTAATGACCAGTGACTTTTTCTTTAAAAGTCTAGATTTTTAGGGGCACCTGGCAGGCCCAGTTGGAAGAGCATGTGGCTTTTTTTTTTTTTTTTAAGATCTTATCTATTTATTTTAGAGGGGGGCAGAGGAAGGGGCAGAGGGAGAGGGAGAGAATTTCAAGCAGACAACCCCATGACCCCCAGATCATGACCCGAGCCAAAACCAAGAGTTGGACGCTTAACCAACTGAGCTACTCAGGTGGCCCAAGTGTGCAACTCTTTTTTTTTTTACTTTTTTAAGATTTTATTTATTTATTTGACAGAGAGAGACACAGCGAGAGAGGGAACACAAGCAGGGGGAGTGCGAGAGGGAGAAGTAGGCTTCCCGTGGAGCAGGGAGCCCAATGTGGGGCTTGATCCCAGGACCCTGGGATCATGACCTGAGCCACCCAGGCGCCCCCCCTACCCCCCCGAGTGTGCAACTCTCGATCTTGGGGTTGTGAATTTGAGCCCCATGTTGGGTGTAGAGATTACTAAAAAAAAATTTTTTTAAATAAATAAAAGTCTAGATTTTTTTTTTTTAAGATTTTTATTTATTTATTTGAGAGACAGAATGAGAGAGAGAGAGCATGAGAGGGGGGAGGATCAGAGGGAGAAGCAGACTCCCTACCGAGCAGGGAGCCCGATGTGGCACTCGATCCCGGGACTCCAGGATCATGACCTGAGCCGAAGGCAGTCGCTTAACCAACTGAGCCACCCAGGCGCCCAAAAGTCTAGATTTTTAAACTCTAATGTCACCCTGCAAATTCATTCTTCAAGTTATGTTTGTTTTCTGGTACACACTAAAAATGCTTCTAGTACCAACTGTGGAAAAGAGTTAATATTCTAAGCAAGGCATACTGAAACATTTATGAAGTGATTTTTAAGAATTGGCCTGCCGAATATGAACAGAATAAAAATGGAATTTTAGTTTGAGATGCTGTTCTTTATACGTGGTTATTAATAGTTTGCCTTGCTCACAAGCGTCTTAGGATGAGCAAGGAGCTTTGGGCAACAGTCCAGATGGCCACTGTGGTGTTTGCAGCTCACATTTCATCCCATGTTTTACAGTCTGGAAACATTCTCTGAGGGAAAAATGGAATGCTAAGTCAGTGTATGTGGTCGGAAATGCTACTGCTTCTCTAGGTAAGCAATCAAGGTAAAGACAAAACACCAAAAAAGGACAGTGATGTTGTGATTTGTAGTAAGAAATATGTATTTGTCTTTGTCCCTGTTTCCTGGGACAGAGCTCTTAAAATCCTTGGTATTTCTAAGTGATAAGAAAGATGAAGTTGCCTATTTTTTTTAAAGATTTATTTATTTTAGAGAGAGAGAGCGCTTTCACTATACCTTAACAGCAGCATTATACATTTAACTAATTATTTGTAAATTTCATAAGCAAAAAAAATCATTTTTTAAACTAGTGTTTTTTCTAAAAAACAAACATGGTGAAGTCATTGGGGAATGAAAACCTGGTTTTCTTCTCTCCTGTAGTCTCTGCTACTACTCAGTATATATTCAAAAGTTCTGTTACATTGGTGCCTGGCTGGCTCAGTCAGTAGAGCATGCAACTCTTGGTCTCAGAGTTGTGAGTTCAAAGTCCACGTTGGGCATAGAGATTACTTAAAAATAAAGAAATCTTTAAAAAATAAAAAATAAAATCTTTAAAAAATAAAAAATAAAACTCTATTGCAAGCTTTGTACCCTTTGGCCCACTAATCCCTTTCCTGATAATCTAGCCAAAGGTAATAATCCAATAGAGGAGAAAAGAAGTGGTGTTTTTTTTGGTTTTTTTTTTTTAAGATTTTACTTATTTATTTGACAGAGACACAGCGAGAGCAGGAACACAAGCAGGGGGAGTGGGAGAGGGAGAAGCAGGCTCCCCGCGGAGCAGAGAGCCCGATGCGGGGCTCGATCCCAGGACCCTGGGATCATGACCTGACCCGAAGGCAGACGCTTAATGACTGAGCCACCCAGGTGCCCTGAGAAGTGGTTTTTATATGAGAATGTATATCATAGCATCATTTATAATCATGGAAAAAGGAAAGCCCCCAATAGGGGAATAGTTAAATAAATTAGGATACATCTATGTGATGATTATGTAGCTTCTTCTTTTACATACTTTTTATTTTGAAGGAAATTTACAGAAAACCTATAGTTGTAACACAGAACTCAATCTTTCCTGGACCCTGGAGAGTAAGTTGCCAACGTGATGTCCCATCAACTCCAAATAGATGAGTGTAGGTTCCCTACAAACAAGCACATTTTTCTGTTTAGCTGCAACTATCACACTCAAGAAATTAACATGCATGTATTAGTACCTCTCGTTCTCAATAATGTCCGTTGTAGCAGAAGGGTTGAGCTCAGAATCCTGCCTTGCGTCTAGTTGTCATGTCTCGTTAGTTTCCTGCTGGAAAGGGGCCTCCATGTGTCTTTGGCTTTGTGACCTCAACACTTTTGGGGTACAGGCCGGTTGTTTTATAGATGGTCCCCCAATTTAGGTGTGTCTGATTTTTTCCCTGATTACATTGATTCAGGTTATATATGTCTGGCAGGAATACCACAAGCTTTTCCCCTTGCCTCTTACCCAGCAGTGCATCATTTTGATTTGCCCCATTACTGATAATGTTCCTTGTAATCCCTTGATTAAAGTGATATGAGGCTTCTCCCTGTGAAGCTACCGTTTTTCCCCTTGAAATTAATTACTTTGTGCGGAGGTACTTTAAGATTATATGATAACATATTTTTTTTTTTAGATTTTATTTTTTTTAAGTAATCTCTACACCCAACGTGGGGCTTGAACTTACAACCCCAAGATCAAGAATCACATGTTCTACCTACTGAGCCAGCCAGGCGCCCCTGATAATGTATTCTTCATCAGTAGCTGCTGATTTACATCAGTATGGACTCATGGTTTCCTCTTTAATAGGGTACAATCCATTACTAAGTCTATTTATTTTATTGCCCAAATTATCCCTGCTGTGGCCAGGGGCAACCCCTTGAAGGCAACTTCTGTGTCCTTTTGACATGTCTCCATCATTCTTTGAGTACTTCCTTCTTTTCTGATGCAAAAAGATGTTCCAGGTTTGTCCTATACTTTCCCTGTTCCAGCCCTAAAATCAACCATTTTCCTTAAGAAGCCCTGGTTCCTTTTAGTGGAGAGGGGTATTTAGAAGCCATGATGAGGATGCTTAGCATATTCATTGCCCTTGCACTTCACTGCTCACTGCTCATGGCCCTTTTCAGTACACAGAGACAGGGAATACACACACACACACACACACACACACATCTTTATTTATATCTACTTATGTTGAAAACCATGAGTTCATTCCACCACCTCCAGTTATAGTCCAACACAACAGAGTTTCTCTAGGTCTTTCATTTCTGTATTTGTGACTCCCATCTCTGGCAAGGAGAAACCTGGCTCCCAGGTCATACATTTACTCATTTGATCAGTGCTCCTATAAGGAACCAGTCTCCCCTGGCTCTGCCCCCACAGGGATGCCCTCTTCAGCCCATGTGGATTCTGACACCCAACACTGGCCACTCCCCCATGACATTCATGTTACTCTGCCCCACCTGAGGGCCTTTGTGCTGAAATGTTCAAAAGGAGAAGGGGGACAGGAGAGGCTAGGTGGTCTGTTTAAATGATTTTGAAGCATCTTTATAGCGTCGGAAAGATACAATGTAACATTAAGAAAAAAAGCAGGATGAGGCGCCTGGGTCGCTTAGTCGGTTGGGTGTCCGACTCTTGATTTCGGCTCGGGTCGTGATCTCAGGGTTGTGGTATTGAGCCCCTCGTAGAGCTCCACAGTCAGCAGGGAGTCTGCTTCTCTCCTTCTCCCTCTCCCCCTCCCCACCCCACTGCTCCCATGTGTGCATGCTTGCTTTCTCTCAAATAAATAAATCTTAAAAAAAAAAAAGCAGGATGCAATATAGATATATGATACAATTTCAGTTTATTTTAAAAATATAGACACTGTACTAGAGAGCCCTCCCTACCCCCAAAGGAGCCTGAGAGGAGCAGGGACTCACAGAGATACTTGTTGGAGTATGTAATGTTCATAACAGCATCAGTCACAATAGGCAAAAGGTGGAAACAAGCAAAATATCCATGGACAGATAAATGGATAAAATGTGGTGTATACGTGAAATAGAGTATCATGCAGACGTAAGAGGGAGGGAAATTCTGACAGAGGCTACAATGTGGAAGAACCTGGAAAACGTTACGCTAAGTGAAATGAGCCAGATGCAAAAAAGGTGAACACTGTATAATTCCACTTACCTGCGGCTCCCAGAGCAGCCACTCGGAGACTGAAGGTATGGGAGAGGTTTGCAGGGTCTGGGGTCGGGGGGAAATGGGAAGTTCTTGTTTAGTCTGATGAAAAAGTCTTGGAAGTGGATACTGGTGATGGTCGTGATGTTACCAAATGTCACTGAGTTATACACTTAAAAATAGTTAAAATGGTAAATTTTTATGGTATGTGTTTTTACTACAAGAACAAAACCTGAAAGGAAATAACCCTATGAAAGGTACTCCAGATGGTGGTATTATAGTTGTTTTTACAATTTTCTTAGTATTTTCTACATTTTCCAAACGGTCTTGAATTTGTATGTTATTTTTAAAGCACAAAGGTAAACAGTGAATCATTAAAAATCAACCTTACAAACGAACATAAAAATTAAGCATGAAACAATACTTAACAATTGTGAGGCCATCAATGGGCAGTTTGTTTCAAAATGATTGTCCAAATGAATTTTAAGATATCAGGGGAAGATGCAGTATAAATGAAAGTGTTTTTTTTTTAAAGATTGTATTTATTTATTTGAGAGAGAGCGAGCACAAGCAGAGGAGGGGCAGAGGAAGAGGAAGCAGGCTCTGCACTGAGCAGGGGGCCCTATGTGGGGTTCAATCTCAGGACTGGGTTCATGACCTGAGCCGAAGGCAGACGCTTAACGACTGAGCCACCAGGCGCCCCAGGATGAGTGAGAGTAGTTTAAGAATGAAAAGCTCTCTTTCCAGAGAACAAAATGACGTCAAGGAGTTCCCCAGCTGCGGGTTGCTGACTAATTAAGAGCTGGTGCATCATTTTCCAGCGCAGAGCAACTTGCACCTGGGAGCTCTGCAGATGAGCAAAGAGGGAATCAGGCCTTGGTTGCCAAGGAAACCGCCCCCACTCCCCCCTCCCCCCCAAATCAGTTAAGAATTTGCTTGCACCTTCTTTCACCATTTCTTTTTTTCTGAAGTAGAAGAGGAAAGAAAAGTCTAGAGACAACTTCGGACTTACACAGCAACACTTCAGCTATCAAACATGGCATGTTTGTAAATTATCCCATTTTGATTCTCATGCTACCTTCGGTCTGATCTCAGTGGCACCACTACACATTTTGCATCTCATTGTTCTGTCAAATGAGAAGAAAACCCGAGAACAAAAGTGGTGATACGGGATGAGAAACCCGAGACAGAGGGGGCTAGCATGGGCCAGCATCCCCTGTGGCACAGAGCCTGGTCCCATGGGACCTGCTGGCCCCAGCCGGCTCCCTGTTTGTACCGCTGTGAAGGAAAAGGACATGTTCTAAATGCTGGGAGAACATGATCAAAGGAGAGATGAAATTAGGGATTTTGCTCCTTTAAAAAGTCTCTTGGGAGAGGAGCACCTGGCTGGCTCAGCTGGGCCCCAACACTGGGTGTAGAGATTACTTAAAAAAAAAGAGAAGAAAAGAAATCTCTTAGGAGAAACCACATTCTATCTTAACATGAAAGTCAGTCACCCAACTTTGGAACCTTCTATCTTAGTTCACCTTCCCAGACATGATGTCCCAGAGGAGCTCTCTCTAGTGAACTGCTGGACGCTTCTGTTCATCCTGAGGCTCAGCAAGAGCCTGGAGAGTTAGAGGAAGTTGAACACGGACAGCCGGGGGAGACCAGGCCCGTGTGTTAGTCATCTTTTGCTGTGTAACGGATTGCCCCAAAACTTAGTGGCTGGAAACAATAAGCGTTTAATTTCTCTCGGTTTCTGTGAGTCCGACATCTGGGAATGGCTGAGTTGGGTCCGTCTGGCTCGGGGTCTCTCACCAGGCTGCAGGTATCTCAAGGCCTGACTTGGGGGTCCTACTTCCAGATCACGCACGTGGCTCCACTTCCCAGCCCTCACGTGGCCTTCTCTAAGGGCTATGTTATGACACGACAGCAGGATTTCCCTCTTGCGTGCGAGACAATCCAAGAGCCAGCGAAAGAGAGCGTCCAGGCCAGAAGCCAGTCTTTTCATAATCTAATCTTGGGAGTGACATCCCATCACTTCTGCCATCTTCTTTTTGTTTGAATGCAGTCCAGGCCACACTCAAGAGGAGGGATGTCAAGGTGGTGTGAGCACCGAGATCACTGGGAGCCATTTTACAGGAGCCCTCTGGTCAAACTGAGCACGAGAACTGCCTCTGCTTCCCCCAGAAGCTGCAGGTCAGGTCAGGAGAATGGAACATTTTAAGCAAAGAGAAGATAGAAATGTTTCGCATAGTGGAAATGGAAACCGGGCCCAAGCAAGTGGTCTTGATGTCAAAGTCCATCAGGACTTATTTATCTTAGAGAGACAGAGAGAGCGAGTGCACAAGAGAGAGCGAGTGGACGGTGGGGCAGAGGAAGAGAATCCTGAAGCAGACTCCTCGCTGAGCATGGAGTCCGACCCAGGGTTTGATCCCAGGACCCATGAGCCAAAGGCAAGAGTTGGATGCTCGACTGACTGAGCCACCCAGGCACCCCATAATCCATATCTGGCTTTTTAGTGTTTTTCATTGCTTCATTTTCCCATTAATTTGGGGAGAATACTGAAATCATCTATATCTATAACCTTAATATGTCTTCACATCCCATTTGTTGATTCTTACTGATCTGCTTATGCACTAAGCATTTTTTTTAAGATTTTTATTTATTTGTCAGAGAGAGAGAGAGCACAAGCAGGGAGAGCAGGAGAGGCAGAAGCAGACTCCCCACTGAGCAGGGAGCCCGATGTGGGACTCAATCCCAGGACCCTGGGATCATGACCTGAGCTGAAGGCAGACGCTTCACTGACTGAGCCACCCAGGCATCGTGCACTAAGAATTTTATCTCACCTTCAGATAACCACAGGGTACCTTTGCACATAGGCATCCACCAGCAGGGGAGCTCACCCCCAGGTTTACACAAGCCCTCCGACTGGATCCACCATGGCAGTCCTAGCCTTAACTTCTTAAATGTAAAGAACACGATGGCAGGTTTGTCTGGGGTCAGGCTGGTTCGTTTCACACAGCTGTGAGTCACTTGAAGTTCCCCTGTCATCATGGCCTGGGGAGGCCCCAAAGGCGGGCTTGCCTGGGCCCGAGGGCTGGCTGAAATGCTTGCACCCACTTAGAGCAGGGCCAGCCTTGCCGCCACAGGGGTTGAGACCTTCCGGCAAACATCCATTGCCCTGATCTCTACAGAGAGCCTCTGCGGGCTGCCGGCGGGCCCCACAGCCCAGTCCCGGCCCTCTCAGGCAGAGCTGACAGGCGCTGGACGGCTCAGGGCCTCCGCTTCCTGCTCTCAGGAGCCCTCGTCCCAGGGTCGTGCGAGGATGAAGTAACGCGCCAGTGCTCACTCGGAACAGCGAGGCCGCGCGTGAGAGTCTCCATGGGCTTCCTCCCGTCTAGTTAACGCAGGAACGACGCGGATGAGCGCCGACGTTAAATACCAACATCACTGCGGTACTCACGTCCCAGTTCCGTTCCTGGGAAGTCATCAGGGGCTTGGTGCACCGAGACCTTCCCAGTTCAGTCAGAGGACGGGCGGCCCGGCCTGGGCTGGCCATGCAGCGTAACAAGGGCTTTGTTCCGGAACAAAGTTGACAGCTGCATGTGACTTTTGTCTCTTGGGCTCAGGACCCTTGAAATGACCTGTCAGTGAAGAGCTGATGGTGTGGATGTGAAAGCTGCAGTTTGTTCTTAGCCAGCGCTCTCACGTGAATCCGAAATGGAAGGGCCCCAGCTCCTCCTCCGTCAGGGAGGTGCCACACTCCGGGCGCAGGTGCTGAGCGCTGACGGCGCGGGGCCCGTGGCCCTTCCTCCCCGGCGTCCTCTGCACAGTGGCCAGGGTTTCCCGTGTGGAAGAGTGCAGGGGGGCCCGGGGAGGGGGGGGCTGCTCCTGCCTCACTTCTTGAGGAGTCTCTCAAAGCTGCTGGTCTGCCCCTCGCCCCAGATGACCTGTAGTCGCGGTACTGGGGGTCGCTGTTGGCAGGTTGCCGGGGAACCACTCCTGCCCTCCCTGCCATTTCAGTCTGGCCACGTCAGCCCACAACCCCCTTCTGGATGGGCGCTGGCCTTGGCTTCCCGGCAGGACGAGGGCTCTCTCATGCCCTGTGAGAAGTAGTAAATCCTAAATGCTCACCACCTCCGTACTGGCTGGTAAGAAACCGCCTTTCTTCAGCTCCCCTAGGGGGCCCGCAGTTTGCTCTCATCATCTCGTATAATCCTTAAAGCAGTCCCCGGTGGTGGCATCTTCCCCTAGTGTAGCCGAGCTCAGTGGGGCTCAGAGAAACTGGCACGTGACCCAAAGCCACACGTCTAGGAAGGGTGGGCCCACGGCCCAGCACCCTCACGTCCGACACAGTGCCGGCCGCCCCCTGCACCTGCCTTCAGGAGGAGACGTTCCTTTGTATTTGCACGTTAGCAAACAACCCAAGAACAGAGGTCTTTAATAGCCACATGAAAACATATTTCTTTTGTTGTTTTCCAGTGAATAAAATTGGCCTGGATACAGAAGGAGCACACTGCGGAAATGCAGAAAAGCTTGCAGAATATATTTGTTCCCGTAAGTAGAAAAAGGTCACTCCAACTGAAGCCCATTTACTTTTTGTTTGTTGGCCTCACCCCCGACCCCCCGGGACAGGAACATTTCCTGGGCGCGTTCTCCGTGGTGACGCTGGTTGGTGCGCAGCGTGCAGGCCGCTCGTGGGACCGCGGGCTCCTTTCCCGGTGTGTGTCTGTGCTTGTTTGAGATTCAGCCTCTCTCCGCCCCCTCCACCAGAGGACTTGAGACAACTCCAACATGACACAAAACAAAGCATTCGGAGACAAATCCAGGGAGACCGTCTGCAGTGATGCTACCCGGAGAGGAGGCGGGCTACTGCAGCTGGGCACCTCCCCTGAGTCTGTGTCCCCCCTCTCGGGGGGCCGCCTCCTCCGAGCGCCCTCTCAGGGCTGGCCCACCCCCTGGGAGTGCATCCCTGGGCAGCGTGTGGACCGGGACCTGAGAGGACGCTGGTTGTAGAGGTGTTTGCCTTTCAGTGCGGGTGCAGCCCTGATGGAAACAAAGCTTTGGGGGAGCTCTCGGAGCGAGAGGGGCGGGAAGGCCATCAACACTCAACAGACATGGGTTCCCACTGCTGCTTCTGCCCCCCACAGAGTCTCCAGGGCCAGGCTGGAGGCTGCCCGTGGGCGGTGGAGCAGGGCAGCTGGAGGGAAGGCACTCCCTGCCTTCTGGTCACATCTGCCACTGTATCCCAGCCCAGCTCTTTGCTTTAGTTTGCTCATGTCTCTAAGTTTTGAAAAATGCTCTTCTTACTAAGGGGGTGTGTTTCAGAGACCCTCCAAAAGCCCCAGGGACGAGGGAGGTGAGCCCTAATCCAGTGACCCTCCGGGCCCCATCCAGGCCAAAGCAGGTGCTGGCCTGGGCTGGAGCAGAGAACCGAGTACCCAGCACTGTGTTCCTGTCCCAGGGCAGCACCGCTGGGCCTCCCACCCCGGCTCTTGTGTCCACCACTCCACCTGAACTGCAGGCCTCGGGGGCTGTTCAACAGGACAGTCGCCCGGCCCACGACTCTAGTGGCCGGGTCCATGGCTCTCCAGCTGGCCATCCGGTGCTCCCAGCACATCCTCACCTCCCGCCTCCTGCACAGCTGTCTCTGCTCCTCCCTCCCGTTGGTGCTGCCTACAGAGGCCCTGTCCTTCACGTAGGCTCCTCTGTGACAGGGACGCCATAGGCTGTGGTCCTTCCATGTCCACTGTCCTGGAGACCTTGGCCCTCCTTTGGCCACCCCCACCACACACATGCTGTTTATGCCTTGTCTTGTCGCTGAACCCACTCCTGCCTTGTGGCCCGGCACACAGGTGTTCTCACGCAGGGTTTGCTGAGCGCTGAACTGTGCTGGCGTGACAGGAGGGCATTCGGGGGGCAAGGCGAGAGAGGGCTTGGTCCATGCCAACAGGCCTGGCCAAGCTGAGCGGCCATCTTCTTGAGCGTCAGCTCAGGCCTGCCAGTCGCTTGATACTATACGGCCAGGCGTTGAAAGCTGCTGAGAAGCCAAGGGCAGTTATGCCGGTGGTCCGGGGGTGAACACAGCCCTGGGCACCTCAGGGTCCTCAGGCCCATGGGACTGTTTTGAGGGTCACTGAGCCTCACCTTTTCTGGGACGAGAGGAACGTCATGTGATTGGGTTTTTCCCCAGCAGTCTGTGGCATGGGATGCATATGTTCCAGAATGATCCAACGCCAGGCTCTTTATTTCTAATATTTGTAGAGGACAATGGTCACCATTAAACAGTAACAAAGCCCTTCTGTTTTAATGTGGAAATCAATGTAAATGGTAGAACTTGGCATTCCCCGGGGGATTAAGTGCTTTGGTTTAGGAAGACGAATGACTGGTTCCGTGGGTAGTACCACATTTAGCTCCTTAATGAACAGGTGGCCGCAGCCTGTCTCCAGGGTAGATGACCTGGCTGTACTCACCGCTGACACACTAGTTCTGGAAAGAGATGGAAGGAAATTGAGTCATTCCTCACTTTCAGGTCCAGAGTCATCAGGCTGGTGTTCCTTGCTCTGCGTACGTATACAAGGCAGGAAGGACCCGTGTCACTTCTGAGATATCACCCTGGTGTTTCAGTTAACTGACTCGAGGCGTAGAGGGGAGATGGGAACGTACTCTGCCTTATCTCGGCGAGACGGGGCAGCATTCTTTGCAAAGCCTTTGTTACTTCTCATTTGTTACCAGCACGCCTGTGTGTCCTAATAAATCTTTAATTCGCAATTAGAATATCCAAATAGGAATCCTTCTTGACTGCTAATAAGGACTTTCACCTTGGTTTTACCAAGGCATTAATGATTTTCTGCCCCAGCAAGCTCTGAAACTGGATTTTAAAAGCTCAGAATCTACTTCCAGTGTTTGGAGTCAACAGGCCAATTCATAGTTATTGCTTATTTCTTTTACTTAACACTTTTTACTACGTGACAGATATCATCGAGGGCACTTAAAACTATTAACTCATTTAATCTGATAGCCCATTGTTCTGATAGAAAATTCTCCCCTTCCAGGAGATCTGCTCTAATGGAAAAGAAAGCAGCAAATAAATGGTAAAAGGGGGCATTACAGCATTCTGCAAGAGAGGGGTCCACCTGAGTCAGACAGAGGGGGGTGCAGTTATTTGAAATGTCCCTGGATTGGGGGCTGCCGATGGCCACTCCTGCAGCCTCTTGGACTAGCTCGGCCCTTCCTTCCCTCGCATCCCTGTTGTCCGGATTCTCCACCACGAGAATCTCTCTCTGCACGGCCGCATCTCCCAGCTTCGCCTGGGAGGCCGAAATCAGTGCAGACCTGGCAGTTGTCGGAGCTTTCCAGCCACACACGTGTCCTCCAGTGAAAAGGCATTTTTTAAAAAATCAGCCTTGTTACCTTAATTACTACAGTGACTACTTATGGAGTCCCCAGCCCCTCAGCACAACCCTCTCCTGGGATTTTCAGCACCCTTGCTGGCCTCAGCCCCCACAGCCCAGCAGTCCAGGCGTCCTTCCTGTTAAAGAAACGGGCAACCTCTGAGCCCCGTGAGTCCCCATTCTGTGTCTTCTCTGTCGGGTGAGACCCCTGCAGGCCCCTGTCTCCCTGTTGTTCCAGGAACCTCTCACACCTCTGCAGAATCAGCCAGCTTTAGCATTGACCTACTTAGCAGTGGCCTATTTGGGTTAAAAATCCGCAGGCAGTAAACTTATCCCCCCAAAAGAATGGGTTCTTTGCCTCTGACTTCTTGAAGGGGGTGGGTCCCAGGAAGGATAGTTGTGGTACATCTCCGCCCAGCAGAAGAGGATTCTAACCAGGACATTTTCAGGTTTTCCTCCCTTTCCTGAGAGTGCCACGGGTTTCCATGACGTCAGCTGGGCTGACTGGGCCTGCATGCAGGGCCTGGCTCTCCAGGCACTGGTGATGCCGTCAGAAAAGACAGGCATCTGTCCTGGACCAGGACACACACACTAAGCTCCCATCTCCCGAGTTAGCGGCCAGCAATCCGAGAATAAGCATGAGCAGCTCAATACTAGGCTAAACCTTCCGAAGAGATGCTTTGAAGGGCAGATTCCGGAATCTTCCGAAGGCCCCTTGCACACCTCTAGGGCTGGGCTTGTTGGAAAGGCAGGCCCTTGGCTTGCCTCCTGCATTCCTGAAGCTGCCCCAGAGCAGATGGCTGGGAGGGTCTGTGGGAGCAGCTTTGGTCTCTAGAATCCTGCACACCCCAGCACCTAACACACATGGACAGACACACAGACCTGGAGGGACGCCTGGGCTCTGGTTAAGAAAGTTGCACCTGAACATGGCTTTGAAAATATGTTTCCAAGGATGGCATCTACAGTGCATGAAACCTTTGCTCCCACTGGAAAAGAGAAATCAGTGGGCATCTATTGTCTACATTTGAATTTTTCCCAATTCCTTGTGTTCTTTTACGTCCGTGCTGATAGTTACAGAGCAGCTTAAATCAAGAACACATTCACCAGGACGTAGTTCTCGAATAACCTGGAAAAAGAAAGTTATTCCTGTGGTTGGTCTGGGCCTTCCGGGAGATGGTGCTAGACGGGAAGTGCTTGCTTTGTTCTTCCTCCGACTGCAATCCCCAAAGAGGTGTTCGGGGAGATCTGACGGGTACAGAAAAATGCGTTTGTGTGTGACCAACAGCCATTAAGACTTCTTCCAACTGATGGATGGACATGGGGGGGGGTTCTATCAGAATGTTCACATTTGGGGAGGATTCGCCCATCGGTTTTGTTAGATGGTAGTGTCTCAGGTTGGTGTTCAGACTACATGCCATCTTCGTTCTGCAGAGAGCTTGGAGCCGAACGCACCCCAAGGTCTTCCTAGAGTGGGGACGGGGAGCAGGGTGGGAGGCAGGCCATTCTCAGCAGGCCCCTACACGGCCACTCATCCGCCCCGTGGGCACTTGGCCAGGTGGCCGCCGTCCTGAGGGGACAGAAGGCACGCAGCTCGTCTGTTTTGGGGGCGGCCGCAGGGCCACTTGTGGCTGCCATTTCCCTGCCGCCTCCTGAGTGTGGGCCCTGGCTCCGGCCACCACCTGTGGCCTCCAGGGCTCCTCCCGAGGCGCAGCGTGGCTGCAGCAGTGCCTTGTGACTCCAGCCAAGTGCAGAGCCGCCTGCTAGCTCGTGCCCGCAGCCCAGGTGCCGCGTCAGGACCAGAGGGGCTGAAGGGGCCTGGGGGACAGTGGCCCCGGCTTGCGGGGATGCCCGTTTTCTGAGCGCCGTGGCCGAATCCCCTGTGATCTTCCTACAGCAGGGTCAGCTTCTTCCCTCCCACGCACAGCTGCTGGGCGGCCCGGAACTGCTGCTCCCCGTGCCCTGGGCACATGCACCCCCTTCTTGAAAGCGTTGACAAAGTCTGGTTATTTATCCGCAGGGGAGTCACCAGCATTGCCTCTTCTATTTCCCTGTGGAACCGTCAAAGGAGAAATCCTGCCGAAAATGCTCAAGGACAGAGGTGACGGCAATGCATTGGCTCGTGGACACAGCCTCCCTGGTCCGCCTCCTCGGGTCTGCCGGGAGCCTTCGTGGTCCGCGTTCGGGGTCCACCGTGCGGAGCCCCCGGGGGAGAGCAGGCCGAGGGAGGGCGGGCGGCCCTCGTGGGGTGCAGTCTACTGTCCTGACCGTAGCCCTGCGCTCGTCTGCCCGCTCGGCTCCGGCTAGGAGCCCGCAGAGTGTCACAGCCTTCGCCAAGGGTGCGGGTGGTGCTGGTGTGGACGGACCCCGGGGCAGGTCCTGGGGCAGAGGAGAGCGTCAGGATGGAGCCCGGTGTTCCGGTGGAATAAAGCCTATTCCCTGCTTTTGATTGTGTCCAGGGATTCCCATGGAAAGCATAACTGTCTATCAGAAGATCCCACACCCGGGAATCCAAGTGAACCTCAACAGCTACTATTCGAAGCAGGTGGGTGGTGCTTGCAGGAGACTTGGCGGCGGGGAGGCCCAAACCCCTGTGCGTGGTTCCACCATCCCAGCCGCATGACTGCCCAAGGCTCCATCTCTGTATCTGTGAAATGGGAATAGACCTCTCTCGGAAGGCTTTTAGAAGGGTGAAAGGAGAGAAAATGCACAAAGCCCTGTGGATATCACCCCAGACACAGTGAGCCTGGGCAGCAAGGGGCCATGCTGTGACTGTCCGGCATGTGTGGGGCATTGGGGGAGCCCCGGGGCAGAGGCTGGGACGGGAGGCTCGGCCCATACTGGGAAGGCCCACAATGCCCACCGAGGAAGCCACAGGGACCTCTGAAGGCTTCGGGCAGGGGGGTGGGTGGCGCCTGTGTGAGTTAAGGTTTTCCACATCTGTATTCAGTGCGACGCCTCCCCCCTCTCCTGGGACAGGCTTCTGAATGCCTTGCTGGTTCTGGACGTCCCCTTAGTGCAAACGAAAACAGAGAGCCAAGCAGCCAGTCTGCCTTCTGTCTCCTGAGAAAGGACGCAGAGTTGACAGCCTGGACTGCTGCCTCACTGATCAGGGCCACTTTGGCCACGTGAGCTAGGGGCAGCGTCTGCTTCGGCTGGGCATGCGGGTCCACAGTGCCCCTGTCCTCTGGCCAGGCAGACACACACCTGTGGGCCGCAGAGCGATGAGGAGCAGCGCCCAGCCTCCCCAGTGGCACCCTGTCCTCTGAACGGTGCCTCGCCTGAACTCGGCCCTGGCCTCGAGGGAGCAGAGAAGGCCACGTCCACCAGGAGCCCTTCTGCTGTGAATCCGTGGGGCTGCCTGGGGGCTGCCTCCTGGGGCTCCAGGGCTGATGGTGCCTGGCTGGGGGAACCAGGGGAACATTCTCTCTCCTTGGCCTGTGGCGACAGACTGATCTTATGCTCTCCCTGCAGGGCATTCCAGCCAGCATCACATTTTTCAGTCCCTCTGGCCTTACCTACAGCCTCAAGCATATTCAAGAGTTATCTGGCGACAACATTGATCAAATTAAGGTGAGATATTCAGTGGGCTTTTGGTCTTTTAAGGTTTTTAAAAATTCTTACTAATTACCTAGAGTTCCCATGTAAAGCCAAAGCACTCCTGACCAAGCAGACACCGTGATGTCACCTCGTAGCCCTGGAGAGACCAGGCTCGAGAATTCTCCAGCATCACTTCCTGGCTGGTGCTCTCGGACACCTTACTTAACCTCTCTGAGCCTATTTCCTCATTTGTATCATGAGGATGATTATCCCTCTGTGGCTTTTATAGACACGTAGTCACCCATTATTTGCAGGGGATAAGTTCCCAGACCCTCAAGTGGATGTGTGAAAGCACGGCTACTACCCAATCCTGATATAGTGTGTTTTTTCCTACACATACATCCCTGTGATGAAGTTTAATTTCTAAATTAGGCACAGTAAGAGATGAACAACAATAGCTACTAATAAAGCCGTTACAACAATATCCTGTGGTAGCAGTGACGTGAACTCTCTCAAGATATCTTATTGTACTGCACTCACCCTTCTTCCCGCGAGGCTGTGGGATGATAATGTGCCTCCGTGACAAGGGGAGGGCAGTGACGTAGGCACGGGACGGCATTCCCACTTGTGAGGGACCGCATTTGCTAGGAGTCTGTAAGTAACGACGAGGCTTTTGGGGCCTGTAACGGGAAGGCTCTTGAACTGGCTCCAGTGGGACCGGGGAAAGGGTGGAGGCCACCTGGGGCCCCAGGACAGGGGCCACCAGCACCGTGTGCCCTCACGCAGAGTGCGTGCTCTTAGCTTTTACTGCAGGTGCGGCTCACGGCACACCTTCGCAGTCCGCACCGGTTCCCAGTTCTGCAGGTGGAGAACTGGGCTCAGAGAAGTAGTGCGTCTTGCCCTAGGCCTCACAGGAGGAAGGGATTTGAACCCAGGAGGACGGATTCCATGTTGTTAGCCGCGGTGATACCTGAGCCGTGGCCAGGTGACGGAGCACTTCCAGGCAGTATCTGGTAGAACTCGCCCACCGGTCCAGGGGTAGGAATCAAGCCAAATCGGGACTACCAGCTACGCAGGAGGGTTCTGCTTCCTGCCCCCCCTTACCAATACTTGTAAGTTTGGTCTTCACGATCACAGCCGCCCCAGCGGCTGTGGGGGAGTTTTGACTTGGATTGCTCCCGTGACCGATGACGCTGAGCGTCTTTCCCTGTGCGTGTCGGCTGCTTCTGTATCTTCTGAGAGGTGTCTGTTCACGTCCTGGCCGTGTGTCTTGTTGCGGCTGTTGCTGGGCCGTACGGGTTCCTGGATGCAAGTTCCCCATCCGATACGTTTTCCCCATCCCGTGAGCTGTCTTTGCACTTCGGAGACGGTGCCCTTTTAGAGGCACGACGGCTTTTCCGTTTTGGTGAAGACCCACTCATCTATCTTTTCCTTTGCGACTTGTGTCTCAGATACCACTGCCCAATCCCAGGGCATGAAGGGCCCCCCCACGTTTCTTCTGTGTCTACAGTCTCAGCTCTTACATTTAGGTCCGTGATCCACTTTGAGTTCACGTTTGTGCCCGCTCTGAGGTAGGGGTCCGGCACCATCTTTTCCTCAGGGAGGTTCTTGAGGAATGGCTGCATCTCAGGGTGGAGTGGCAGGGGTGGGGGAGGGCTACAGGAGCTCGGGCTTCCGGGGGGGCAGCAGCCTCTGTCCTGTGGCTCTGACATGCCCCAGAAAGAGGGGCTTCGAGTCTTGAGATTGTTCCCTGCACCACACCCGGCCCAGGGTAAGGGCTGCCATCCTCACAGACCTACTCCCAGGCAGGGGTGCGTGCACCCCAGTGCTGGGGTGGGAGTGATGGGAGTGCTCTCCCTGCCAGAGCAACAGATCTTATTTACCCCCCCACTAGCCCTGCCAAGCAAGGGTAATTGTACCCCTTTGACAGATGAGGAAACAGGACCAGAGGGGCTAAGTGACTTGTGAGGACACCTAGCAAGGGCCGGGGTCACCACAACAAAAAACCACATTCAGCCCCAAGCGAGGCTCTGCATATGACCATCAAACGTGCGATGTTTGGAGAGAGGCATCCGGCTAACGAGCCTCAGGCCGCTGGAGTTTCTCATCTGGAGTAACCGTGTTCCCATCAGCGGCAGCCACTGGTGGCCGCCGACCATTTCTCTGTGCCGGGGCCCCTGGCCACGTGGTTGCTCACATTGCCCCCACGTGATCCTCAGAGCAGCCCAACGGGGAAGGCTGTTCCCCTCTGTTTTACAGATGAAGGGACGGAGGCCCAGAGAGGGAGGGTCACTTGCTAGGGCCACTATCCTGTGGAGCTAGGATGGGAACCTGGCCTCCGGCTCCAGGTCCCGGTCTCGGCTGCTGCGTTTTCCTGGGGAGCGCAGCCGGGGCCCCTGCCACCCCCAGAGCACCTTTCAGACTTTGCTGTCTGCTCCACTTGGCCCCCCACCCAGGGCAGAACTGTGGGCGGCTGAGGCTTATGGAGAGGCAGCCAAGACGGCGGGCACCGGAGCAGGGGCCTGGCGCCCCTGCCCTGCACCCGAGCCGCAGGCCGGCGGGGAGGCTATAATGAGGTCATGCAGGCAAAGGCATTTTGCGGGTGTAGGGCTGGGTTCGCATCGGGAGGGGTGATCACACGTGCTAGGAGCTGCGACGACCTGACGGGCCCAGGCCTTGCCCCCGTCCGCCCAGCCGGCCCCGCAGGTGCGCTGAAGCTCCCTCTCTCTCCCCCTGCAGTTTGCCGCCATCGGCCCCAGCACAGCCCGCGCGCTGACCGCCCAGGGCCTGCCTGTGAGCTGCCTGGCCGAGAGCCCCACACCGCCAGCCCTGGCCAAGGGCCTCCGGTTGGCCCTTCAGGCCCCCCGCTGCTGAGTCGGTGGCCCGTCCCGCTGCTGCTGGTGCAGGGAGGCGAGGCATCGGCGGGGCTCCCCACACCTTTGCCTCGTGCCTCCGCGGAACCCCCGGGACACATGGGCCCGGCGAGAGCTCCTCTGGCAGAGGGAAGAAAACCAAATAAACCACCTGGCTCTTCGCGCTGAGTTGTCACTCGCTGTGTATCGTTTTCCACGCAGAGCTGTGTTTGTGGAGGAAAAAGACGTGCCCATGTTCTGAGAACTGCCCAACCCCGTAGGAATGATAACACCTGCTGTGTAGGAAGTAGCTTTATGCATCCTATAAAAAGGACCTTCAAGTCCCGGCTTTGTGAGCTGTGGACACCTGCCATTCAAATACGGAGAGACTTTCTTTCCTTCAGAAATGAAAGGCAGCTTAGACCAGGCAGGGCGTCTGAGAGGCGGGGAGGCTGGTTTACACAGAAGGGCTTTGCCCGCAGGATGCAGTGCCCTGCAGACAGGCTTGGGGAGTCTGCCCCCAAACTTTCTTTCCGCTTTTA